TGACTGGAGCCTGTCGTTTATGCAGTGCTGGCTGCTGATGATGACATGGATATCCCAGAGACCCCGAGACACAGAACCACTGGTCATGGATATTTCTCGACGCAAATGTACTCAGCCCAAACATCAAATATTATGGCCGTGATATGGTGACCGAACTGCCATCAGCGGTGTGGTCAACGACCGCAGAAACAACCCTTTCCTCTCTCAGACTATCAGTATCGCTCACCTCGGCCGCGGTGCCGGGGTTCGCACCCAGCTCTCTGCCGGCGGCCCGGCGCCGTCCTTTTGATGGCCGAACGTGACCGGTAGTTGGTGTTGGCTGCAGGCCGCCCATCACGTGTGACGTCAGTGGGGGTCGATCTCGGCTGCAGTTACCTGGCCACCGGCGCGCACCACCAGCAGTAGCTGACCCAGAGGGCCGCCGGGAAGGACGCGGCAGCAGCGGAGAGATACGTGGTGAGCGTCCGGAGCCGCCACCGCAGCCTCGGCTGAGGCCGGTCGGCCGCGGGCCAGAGTGAGATCGGTGGGGGAGGGGGCGCCCGGCAGAGGCTCCTTACTGGCCCAGTCCACCGCCCACAGCACGCGGAACTGTGGAACACAACAGAACGGAAACCGTTACATAAAAATCAAATAAGTTATGAAAAAAACTATATTAATCGGCCTACTCTATCGCGCATTGACCTCATAGTGCCGTGCCAAAACGTTCTCGTAAACTCTTACAGAACTGCTCCACCACAGCCGCACTGCGGCCTCCCAAGAGCCTCTGTCTACACTATAGCCGGACCTGGTATCCTTCAGACGGCCACTGCCATTTGGATTTTGTCCCAAAGGCGGCCGGGGCACCAGCGACCACCAAGGCACGTGCCAGTGCGCCACGCAGTGGGGCCCAGCTGAGAATGGACAGCGTCTATATTATAACATGCGACACAATAACTGAAGACTTGATGAGGATCTGCTGGATGGGGAGGCTCATGGCTCGAGCTTACCTGGTATTTCGTGGAGGGTTTTAGAGTCCCGTGATTGTAACTTGGCTTGCGTTTAGTTTCACGTCCGGCTGATAAAATATCCACTCGCCGGGTAGATCCGAATACCTGAGGGAGACAAAACATTTAACGTAAACAGATTAAATAGCATCAACGCGATTGCTCTCAGTCACACACCGTTTACAATGGCGGGCGGAATAATGAGTCCGTGATGGGATACTGCGCCGCAAAACAACGCCTGGAACGTTGCTGTCCCGCAAAGCACAAAGTGAAAACTACGAAATGCTCGCATATGCCGGTCCCGTGTTATGACTTAAAGTAAGCAAGGAAAGCAATGAACGTTAGAGTGACGTAGACATGGATATGGGTAAGCAATTGCATCGAATTTAATATGCAAACTATGCAGAAAAAAATGATATAGCACTAAACTTTATTATCATTTATCGACCCGCCTGCGGTAAACAGAAAACGATATACGGAACGCGTCGGCAGTCGGACTCTGATGACCAAGGGGCAAGGGCATACAATAAAATACAGTAAAGGCAGACGTAAGCGTGACGCCTACTCACTTTTTGAACGAGCAGCATGACGTGCGGCAGCGGAGGGCCAGCCATCGGATGGTGACGGAGTCGGCCGCGAGTCCGGCACCAAGTCGGAGCGCCCAGCTGGAGCTCCTCTGTCGGACGGGCGCAGTCAGGAACGGAATAGGCACGCGCTGAGTAAAGTTAAACGTTTTTATCATTTATCTAAAACGCACGAGCACAGCCCGAATAACCGATTAAACGAGGGCTATTAAACCGAGGTTTTAATCTGATTTTACGAGTCAGCAATTTGTGTCAAAGTGCAGGCATTAATTATACATACAGACATCTGGCATATGGCCACGGACAGATATACACATTACCCAAGTAGTCATTCCACAGCTGCCACATAGAATCTGGTTGGAATTTCGACAGACTACCGTGCGACATTGCCGAGATATTCAGCACGTTGGAAGTCAATGGTGCAAACATGTATATTCCGTCTATTGAAAACTGTCCGTTGAAGATACGGCATGGAGGCCTAATCCGCTGATAGCGGGGAGAACGAAAAAACTGCCAGTTTGGAGTCAAACCCGTGCCAGCTCGGAGAGCGTAAACAAACGTGGCTCTCGCATGAGTACCTAACTGATGTGACAACTGGACACCGCAGTCATAAACATGTGTAGCGCTGCAGCGCTTAAACGGCCGGCCAACGGGTCGTTTCTGGGGGCCGGCGGGCGGCGGGCCATTATACACAAACGGACGGGCTCTCGGAGGCCGCTGGTTTTACTCAGCCGGTCAGGGGACACGGGTGGGGAAATAGCTGCCGAATGGTTCGGCGGATGGCAGCTGATATTTCGCGAGGTGTTTTCCTCACTCTGAGCTGCTGAACGTATCGACTGACGGCGATGTTACAGCCGATGACGCAGTACCAGCTCTCCCTGCTGCGATGACGGCCCCTCGTCCATCTGATGAGGGAAATGACGTCCGGGCAGGTCAGGTCAGTCAGGTCAGGTCAGTCGAGATGTGATATGAAATGCTCAAGATGCAGGAAAGCGAATCGAGTAAGGTCAGAAAACATAGCATCATAAATATCAGGCACATACATAATTGACCCTGCATTTCAAGTGCCAACCTATTATATAAAAACGAAGATAAAAAAGCTTAGTTTAGACTTCTTCTCCAAACTCAGTGACAGGAGGCGTATTTTATGTCTGTGTTTATGTTTCATGTGTTACCATCCCGCTCCAAGATCCAGAATACGGTCTTATTTACCCGACCGTTCCCACTATCACTATACCACTCAAACAAAAATAATCCAGCTGACAGATCACACGATATATGGTGTAGAAAGGAACCGTCTCCGCCCCATACTCACACAAAATTGTTTACAAGACGACTCGAGGGAGCGATTTCTCCCGGCGCATCCTTTATTGCACTGAAACAGAGAGATTATGCGGTAAAAACAAGGGATCGAAATGACTTATTTGTTGGATGGCATACCGTTTTCCCCGTACACTCGCATCAGTTTTGTGTTTGCCTTGGTGTCTTTTTAAAAAGAATCGCTTTTAACGTCGCATGTCTAAATTGCCGTTCATGGTAAAAATAATAAACAACTAAAAACCAACTACGTATTTACCATTCGCATGTTTCTTTTTAACGTTAAGATAGCATGCTATATATTTAAGCATTGACTGTGATTGTACTTGTGTTTAATGTTTGCTGCTCATGATTTAAATATTTACGGATATGATTTTGTTTCGCTTTCCGTTTTGGGTATACCTGTTGTGACTTACTTGCGCTGACACTGGCCGATATCGGCTGTGGGCTGGATCCGTCACTTCCCGTGACGGAATGTCATTCAGGTCGTCACGTTGTGTGACCCCAACGTCATGCGATACGTCATCCCAGCCGTACAGGTGCGTCACGCCTTTTTACATGGAAAATCCGCGAACGGTCGCGCCGAGATGGCTTTCACATCCTCTGCGGAAGGCCGCTGTTTAACAATGTGACCAGCTAAAACATCCGGCCGCGACCGATCAAATGAGAAGGGCACACACGCGAGGTCGTGACTCGGACGGGGCGGCACGCAGCCTGACCTCCGCGTCCGACCGGCAAACAGAGCCGCTCACACCGTCACAAAATGGCTGCCGCGGGACGGGGCCCTGCACCCACCGGTCTGGAAGCTCACAGGGCGAGTTTGGTTAATTTGCGGTGACGGCGCAGACGGAGGGGACTGGAGTCGGGTTGAGACGAGTCCCACGGGCGCGGTGAGGGCGGGCCGTCCCACCGTCACCCGCTGCGACACTCGTGACGGTGGTCCCGTCACAGACCGGCCCGACCCTTTGTTGGTAGCGCTCCGCCCTCGGTGACTTGCAGTGCCATCCCATTCGGTGGTGACGCGGTGTCGCAGCGGGCGCCCACGTTCCCCCGCGCCGCCGCCGCCGCCGCCATCAGCTCGCGGCCGGATATTACCCGCTCAGTGGCGCGCACACCCGACCCGGCCACCGGCGAGCCTTCCGGCTGAGGCCGAATCAGTGCGTCGGTCCGCGCCGTGATTTGGCGGTGTGGCCGCCGCCCGCGTGCCGCCCCTCCCCCGCCGCGCCGCCGCCGCGACAACTCACGCCGCGATCAAAGCCGGAACTTCCTCTCCATTCAACGGCCGCGGAAACGATCGGCGCCCATAATAAAAATTAGCGGCCTGTATTGTGGCCAGTCCCGTGATGGACACTTTTTGCCGTACCTGGCGATTTTATCCGCACGCCGCTGCCGGCCCGGGACGTGGGAGCGCCGCATTAGACAAAACGGCGGAAGCCCGTCTCTCACGCGCGCGCCCGCTGACAGAAGCCGAGCGGCGACAAACATCGGTCCACCGGTCACTGTTTGAACGGCCGGTCAGCGGGGCGTCCGGCCCCAGAGAACGCGACCGGCGCGGCGCCCACAAAGGTGCGAGGCAGGGACAGCCTTGGGCGGCCGCGCGGACTGGGGGCCGGCCGGTGCGCGGTCATTTGTATCCACGGCGCCGGATCTGTCTTTACCGGCGCCGTTTTTCTGACCGCCCTGATGGCTATGTCGTTAGCCGCAGGATGTTGGTCGTAACAGGTCGGACCTTTTATTACAGGAGAGGAAAGACGCCATTTCTTGCGCACTAAATGTGATGGAATTTGAACTGATTACCCAACAGTGACTGATTTATAAATCAGACAGGTCATGATATACTATTGTGCTCATAAATCAGTTAGCGACCGTGCTGGTGTTGAAAAATGCGCATGTATGTCTATCTATATTAACGTTTTATGATCATATTTATATGCAAACAGAGTTCTGTTGGCTCACCTGTTCAAGTCTGCAGCTTTCATCGCACGATGTCTCCAGATTTGAGCCTCGTCCCTGGTTCTGGAACAGAAGAAACAAGCGAGTTAGTCATGTTGAGGACGAAGAATAACCTTTGGCTTGAGCCTGTCGAGAAATGTGTCGGAGTCATCAATTACAACGTACACATTTCTTTGTTCGCACTGTGCCGATTTGCAAAATGTTATGAGCAAGGTCGCTGGAGGCACTGGCCTCAGCCCTCGTGGCAGCGTTATCTCCAATGAACTTTATCCGGAGTTCCAAGCTAAGTAACTACGACACCCCTGTGAAATGTTAAAGCTAATAATCCTACCCGTACCCGAGAAACACTTGCAAGATCTTTTGAATTTTTTACAAGCACATATCGTTTCATACCCATATTATTTTGAGCGGCTTATGCTCTTAACTGGCAGAAGTTATCAGCGAGACAACTTAGTGGCGTGCCATTGATCGGTACCAATCCATTCGACCAACGTCTCTCGCCTGTTATTTACATGTTAAACTGGGGTCAACTTCTTAGCACAGCGTCACTGGCAGCCAGCAGTAGTTCCATGCTGATTAGGGCGGATCGAGTTCATTGAGCTGATTCGATCAACACTCCGAAAGGTTTGCCTCTCGGTGGACACTGCACCGCAAACTTTGACTTGTTACAACATTAGCGAAAGTCGCAAATAATAATGCTTCGTGCTGGACGTTCACCTAACTTTCTAGGCACGGACGTGTTATCAAGGGAGACGAAACAAATAGAAACTAAAACTAAAAAGCAGGGTTGGATATTGTAGCCAATGTTGGTAGGCGGGCACACGTCAGCTGTCGAGTTAGTCTCTCCACCCCATTCTCGGCAGGTCGGCTCGTCACGCGTCTGGCAGCGCTGAGCGGACCGGCCCGGCGCGCCGCGGGGGTCGTCATGGTCCGCACCCCTCAGAAGGTCACCGGGCCACCTCCCCTTCCCTCCCTCCCCGCGCCGTGAAATGGACCGGCACGCCGCGCCGTGAGATGACGTCACACCGTTCACGGTCGGCGGGTGAGATGATTGGCTGGCGACACACGCGGTCGAAACAAAGCCCCCGGCGCGGTGATGCGGCGCAGCTGCGAGCGGTTCGCAGAGCTGACGCGTTAGTTACTTCATTGGACTGATGAACTGCGGCTGTCGGGGAACGGTTGCACCCTTTAAACCTTCAGAGAACGGTCATGATGGATGGATAATTAGTATCTCACGCGAGACATCCGTTCTCTCACGTTCCGAACAAAAATAGGAAAGATCGTTTTGGGGACAGTTATTGTTCACTGGTTAACGGGATGAGTTTATTGACCAAAGTCGTGAGTGATCAAATGATAATTTGATGATAATTTGATAATATGAACAAATTCAGCATCTCAACCAAGCACGGATCGTGTTCAATCGGGCCACTGAAATGCATTCGGACATATGCCTCTGCATATGAGCCTACATATAAATTGAAACAAACTGTTATAAAAGTGATGAACGTAACGTAATATGTAATAAACCTTATCAATAAAACATGTAGGTTCGATGCAGAAAATAAGACGGCTCTTCTAACTGGATAGCAAAAAAAAAATATTCGGGAAAGCTGGAAGCCACACATAGGGTAACTGTGGGAAAACGCACCCCTGGGTTAAACGCCTCCCCTAAAAAAATCGTAGATCTTATCGGCGGATAGGTGTTTTATCCTGTCTTTCAGAACAATCAGCTGCTTGTTTACGTAGTTCTTCTCTATTTTCGGTTCTGCGTCTTGAGGAGCAGCGTAGGTAGGTGCTGATGTTGGTTTTGGGTGTTGTTTTGTGTTTTTTACAGAAGATTCCTAAGCTTTTGATGCCCTCTTTATATCACAAACTTGCTATTGTGCACATCACTCAAAACTGCGTTTTATTGTCATTCTGTTGAATTTATTATGCTACGGCGTTAGTGGCGCGTTTTTTGTCAATATTTTGTTGACCGGAAATGGAGTGGATGGGGAAAGACGCCTACTAAAGACGATGCATGGGGCAAGACGCCCCCAGTTTTCTGAAAGGGGGCGTTTTGCACGGTGGTGAGAGTGCAGGGTAGCGCCCTGTAGGTCGGGGCCGAAAAGGCCTCTCCCTGTCCTTTTTTGCTGATATATCCTAAACGACTGCAGATATTGTCACCAAACTTTCAGGACTCCTCCGGGCATCCATTTACACATTGCAACAACATTTATTCCAAAGGCTATGATAGGTTAACCACAAATGACGTCAGAATGACGTCAAGTTCTGCCATGTTCATCATTTTCTGTTGATGGATGGGGTGGGGGCGCTTTGCACATGGGTGTGGGCGTATTACCCAGGGTGTGGGGCAAAACGCCCTTTTGTAAGGGTATGCGGAAACCTTTTTGGGGGGTTAAATACCACACGCAAGTGTCTTTTTTGGTCTCAAAGCGTAGTAAAAAGAATGAGCTACATGATGGTGCCCAAAGGTTTGAGTAATCTGGGTTGGGTTGAGTGTCAGAAGGTTTCGCGCTTAATGGGGGCGTTTTGACCTATTCACCCTATACCTACCTAGACAACAGAAAGCGACAAACATATAAAGGAAGCGAACGGATGAATTATTAAATTACAAACTCCTGAATGACTTCACAAACGAGACAATTCATTCATAACTCGCTGCATGGGTGAATGAATGGGTATCGCGCTACTTTACTTACACGTGTTGACAGACGTTGACGGATGCTTGGGGAAAACAGTCACGATCTTAACACAACGCTGCACGAGACAATGAACAATATAGTGGGCACCCTGGAAATGACACTGACCATACGCCATGGGGTGACGGCTTCCAGACGCTATCAGCGGCACACAATGCCGTCTTGCCGCCGCCGTGCTGACATGACACCGACGACCAATTAGCGTCGTTGGACTCTGGTTAGAACGCCCTGATGGCGCCGACTGCAGGTCGGGTAGTTCTGACAGTTCTGCCTTCTCGCCCCAGCGAGCGCCGAGTGTCAGTTGCGGCCACCGACGGCAGTGGTCACAATAAAACCAGCGGACTTTTCAAGGGTAGCCGGGACCATTAGTGCCACGCGGGGTTATGCATGCTCAGTAGAGGGCATCACACGCGCGCGGACTGGTCTTTTTGTCCTTCCGACGGGGTCCGCCATTGTTCATGAGAGCGCCGGGAGGGGAAAGGGCGGCCGGCCGGCGCGGCGGCGAGCAGGACCCTTCACTTCACGGTCGGGTCGCTGTCGCCGTGTCACACACACGGAGTATCGGGGACGGCGGACGTCAGCCGCCACCGTCCGACGTTCGTCCTTCAGCTGGGGGAGGGGCGGCGCACAGTCACGGTAGACGTTCGTGACTGCTCGTGATTTCTCATGAGCTCGAGCAGGTGCGACTCGGGAAGGATTTTCACCGAAGCAGGTGCCGGCGACCCTCCAGAGCCGCAGGTGCTTTTGAAGGACGTCTGGAGGCGCGTGCCAGGTTATTGAGAGAGCCGACTGATGACCGTATCATTATCGACGGCTAATAGCGATCGGCAGCTGGCGTACTGAAGCCGCCGCTTTGTTGAGACGTTGTTCCCGGGGCTGTGACTGTGATTAGCGGCCGATCAAGTTGTGAGACTCGTGCCTGTCATGTGGCCTCGGGGCGACAAAGCGGACATTTGTCAGGGCTGCGTAATCACGATCCTCAGGGCAGTCGCCTTAATTCCGTCGATGGGCGCGACATTGACGTCGACCCGTCCCCACGGCACCCAACAGTGGACACTCGGCCGGAACTCAGCACTCGGCAGTCAGCACTCAGCACTCTGCTCGTCACGGCGGTGCCGGCGCTGTGCTCGATTAGAGGTCCGGGTCGGCGGCACGGCGGCCGGCACTGCGCGCGGGCAATTTGTCGCCGGGTGGGAACACAGGTGCATGCTACTGTCGCTCCCAATGGCCAGCGCTTCCGCAGCGTCGCGGCGTGGCAGGCCTGCGGCCGCGCATGGGAACGTCCAGCTCAGAATACCCGCGTCCGGCCCGGCCGGTCGACAAGAGCTGGGAGCCTGCCGACAAAAATAGTTCGCCGGAGTATAGATAAAATAACCTGTACTGCGGGTCGATGTGTTCACTTAAGCTTTGTTGTCAGATAAAATCAGCTGATGACATCCTAAATGAGAGCCTTGGGAAAACTTGCCCGAATGAGCTTCTTTTTAGCAGTAAAGTGAGAACGAGGTATTTAAAGAATGACTCAATTTGTTTGTGACGACTTCGTGAAGGCCCCATTGCATGATCATTGCGCGTCTTTCTCGCCGATTCCCACCGTCCCGTCCGTAAATCGTGACGCGAGTGCAGGTGCAGCTTCAGCCAACCGAGCAACCGCAAAACGAACTCGGACCAACCGTCATCACCGCGGCCGTATCGGATAAATGACGCTGCAGCAACAACCCACCGATCACACCATGGTACGGAGTGCCTGAACTTGCATCTCTCCCGACCTCTCCGAGCGAGTTAGCACCTCTGTTGTGGTGTAGCCATGGCCGTGAGGAATAGTACGCGAGCTGCAGAACTCGATTCAATTGGTCTGAATGAAGAGGCAGCGTGCAAGGCGCTCATGGGCCGCAGGAGATGGCCGTTGCCAACCGACTCCTCGGCTGGTAGAACCGAGACGGTAGGCCCGGACAGACTATTTGCATGCTTTTTGCATACGCCGTACGCTCGCCGGGCAAAAAGCACGCGGGCCTCGTGGTCAATTGGCTCAATGATTCAATTGGATAATGGCTGGCAGCGCCTCCTACCGCGGGGCTCGGCGCGCTGGAGCGACGGCCGATCGCGGGCGCCCGGCAGCCGAGGAAGCGACGGCGGCCGAGCGCCGTGGTGAAACCAACAGTCAGTGGAAGTTGGACCCGCCTGCTCCCTGCCTGACTTGGTCATCTATAATACGGCCAGCTGTCTGCTGTACTTAGTATACAGTAACATAGTTGGTAGGAATTATAATTGTGTAAAAAGACGGTCTTGGCAAACCGCGTGGCGACCACAGCTCACCCTTGCTGTAGACAAATGCACCTCAAAATGACTCGTTGCGACACTGCC